AGCTGAGTGAGCCTGTGCTGTTTAATTGAGTAACACAGTGCCCTCACTAGAGGTTCGAAGTCCGACCATATTTGCTCCATACCGTCTCCATCCAAGAGTCCCCACCCAGTGTTTAATCATGGATTGTAATCCAATTGACATGACCATTCATGTACATATGCGTGGAATAAGCTCATTGCCAACTCCAGCTGCCCCTCCTCCATTGCCTCCGGGAATATATTACGCTGGAGCAACACAAGTACAGTAAATTACACTTTTTTACGGGCCAGAAAGCACCTTTTACACACTTTGATGATACTCTTCTTCAACTGACATCCAATATCATAGAGTAATCCAAGAGATCCACTTATCTATCCCTCTCTACCCTCTCTAGCCTTGGGCGCTTCAAGAAGCCAGTCAATCAATGCAAGAGGATATATGTTCCTATCATTCAAACACTCGTATATCAGTATGTTGCATGAGTATGTTACATTTATAGTCAACTCACTTCTCCCCGCTTTGGATGATACTGATGAATTTCATGCATTGGTCATGGTTGCACCTCATCCCCATCAATCCAGTCTCATTACACCCCTTCCAGTGTGATTTCCCTTGTGTATTGTTGGCCGCAGTGTGCCTTGCAGCACCTGAATCCTATGACAGTACAACAAATCATGTTACTAGCAGATGAATTGTGATTAATCTGATGAAAGCGCACCACTTCAGCCTTGTGCCATGGAGTCACAGCACCCATCTACTAGGCTCTGGGAGGCCAGAGCCTACCACTGACTCCATGAAAGATTCATGAAAGATTCATGAAAGGTTCAGAAAGATTTCAAATTGACTTCAACATAATATCATATGGGGCCATTTGCCTGTCCAACCACCAAAATTCCATAAATCTTTACACACCTGCTCCTGTATTCACAGATCAAGAATAGATAGTCTATTAAACTTTATCATGTAAATTGACTGAGTTATTGAGGTTTGAAAAAAAATCACAGATAAAAAATACTATTTTTGTACTATACATAAGACTTGGATCTTGAATATTGTCATTCTTTGTAAATATACATATACATTAAATTTGATAATATTTCCCGCACTATGTTTCTCCACATTTCTGTTCCCTACAGCCTTTGCCATGGGTAGTATTTTGATATGTAATTGTGGATTATATACAGAAGTTGAATTTTTTGAAGTTCTTTGACCTTGAGGCAAATTGTGATGAATTGTAGGGCCCAAATTACGCACGAATAGACTGATATGCATGTAAATAATAATTTCCAAAAGTTTCTGCCATCAATTTATTCATATCCTTCCTAGAATCAACAAATCAAGGAAAGATTGGACAGCTCATGTAGAATTCACAATTACATATAGAAATATGCCTTTTGGACACAGGGTGCAAAAATAAAAAATGTTGAAACATGTATTGTACAGTGGAATATAAAATTTACTAGAGTATAAGCGGGCAAGCCCGCCGCAAAGTCAAAGGGTTATGGATTACGTCCATAAGTACAATTTAGATTAATACAAATCCTTTGCATTCATGTTTACATTCATATTTATATACAGGAAAAATGGAATCCTTGTCTTCAAATACTTCTTGTCCGCAAAGGGAGTCTGACCTGGAGGCGATTCCTTGATCATTTTGTTAGGCCCATGATCGTCATCGTGAAGCTGTTGAGATGTTCCCCCTAACCCTGCATGATGAATATTCCTTTCATTGCTTCCGACACTACTCTCGCATCAATTTCTCCCCAATATTGCTAATGTCATCCATTGTGGCATATCACGTGACAAATGATGAGATGATGATCGCGTATGCAGTATATCTGGCTAGTGGACGGCAGCAAGGGATGTGGTGTTGCATCCATAAGTACTAAACCCCATGCCAACATTCAATTCAATAGAAGCAGGTTTCCAAATCTTTGCATGAGCATCAAAGGAAAACCCCGGAAGAAATCTTATAATATTGCAACCCCTAGTTTGAATTATATTCATTAGACAATTCATCACTTTCCAGCTTTACCCACCGTCTCTAGATCACTGCATTCACGCAATGTCGGATGAAATTTTACATACTTGTCCCTTCAACATCACCTCAGTGTTTGATGTGACCGCAGAGGTATGTGTATGGCCAACTGTGTGTCCGCTATGCATTCCCCGCTTTGCTCATTTTGACCACTAATGTGATTTAGGCTGGAACAATCAAGAACTTGCGAAATGATGACATCAAATTTGCACATATGAGTGTCACAACCGATGTAGCACACACCGGACTGTCTGAATGGGCTCTAAGGGGCATTGTTGATGGATAAACTTCCCAAAGAATTATGATTGATGCAGCCTATTTTCTCTGCGGCAAAATCATTGGAAATAACAATACCTTTCCAGGATACTTCCTCTATTCATCCACCCACACACTTATTTCTAAGACACCTACATCTCAGCCTGCCGAGGTTGTGAACTGCGTTGGCATTACCGGTCTTGCTTGCATCCTTTCCTTAGAAATTTTATGCAACCTTGAAGGTTTGCCATTAGTGATATTTATAGGAGAACATAAGGACCTCAATCCTATTGTAAGCCGTCATGCATTTCTACGCGATTCCTCTGCTAATCCCACCATCAGTCTGCACAACCCTGTACTTTTACAGTCAAATACCGTGTCTTGAAATCCAAAGTGGACAAGGAAGTGATGGCAGATATTGACGTAAACTGTGATGTCTTCTTTGTCGGCACCATCTTTGGCCAAAATGAAGACACGCATAGGTGGATAGTTGAGGTAATTATTCTTTGCATCCTAATAGCCAATTCGCGAATGTGCCCATTTAATTGACTTCCTTCTGTTCAGGTGAAAGACTTGACTTTGGCTTCAATGAACAACAACGCTACCTTAAATTCAAACTTCCAAAGTTTGATTATGTAAGATGAATTTGGTTACTCAAGACTTATCATTTCCAATATTGGCTCCATTTCAATATGTTAATCTCACATTCATCACTCTCAAAATCGATCAAGGGTGAATCAATGCCTCAAATACTCACTGGTCATTATAAATAAACCTCAAAAAAATTGAACCTATTATTACACAGAGTTTTCTAATACAACACAAGATAAAAAGAAACACATATGAGCAATGACAAATTTTACACCAGTCCTTGAGATGTCTAATCAGAGGCAGTCGTGCAGTATTGCGATTCATATTTACCCAACAATCATGAGTCTTCAACCAGCTCACGACATACTACATTTACCGTTTCAGCCGCCACATTAGAGGTGGCAAGTACCAGGTGCATGTTTCTTAAATTGCTACACCAAGATAAAGCCACATATAATTGCCCATGAGAGAAAACTGGCGATGATAGATAAACCCCTACTCTCTCCAATGTTTGACCTTGTGATTTGTTGATAGTCATACAAAATGCCGATGTCACCGGAAACTGAAATTGGGAAAATGGAACCGGTTGTTCCAAGGTGCCTCGATGAATCATTTTCATCTGCGGCATTGCAATCTCGTCCCCTTTTTTGGGACCATTAATAACTAGAGCTTACGCGGGGAAGCCCGCTCCGAGATTCAAGCCTCCGTACAGCCCATTCAGATACTTTGTCTAATAATGTATTATTGATTGCGCTTGCTTAATTTGCTTTCAAGTCCGCGCAACGGTCATATGCAATTCCACATGGAGCTAAACTGTAGTCTTTGTCGTGTACAATACAGCTGAAGTTTAAAGAAACAAGATCCCTCCTGCCGATCATTCTTATAAATATTGACACAACCCATATTCACAATCATACAAGACGCCAATTCACCAACCCCAATCTTGATTACTTCATCTGAAATGTTAATTTTCGAACTCATGAATCATGATTTCTGGCTCTCCATGCCAAGGAATGTATATTGTCACGTTCCTCCTTGTCACCCAATCTTCAAGGTACAATTCTTTGATTCGATGTTTTGGATTGGGTTCTGTTGCAGATTCTGCAAAAATATTTGTTAGCGTGGCGAAATTAGTATACAATAAACACATTTACCTTCAAGATAAGCCATGATCAATTGGGCTATCATCCACTCTTTAACTCCGAGCATTTTTCCACTCAAATTTGTCCAACGTACTAAACCGTGTCCGTAAACAAATGCATGTCGGTACAGTTTCATCCTCCGGTTGATTGATACGATAAGGGCAGGTGTAATTTTACGATAGTGTGTGTCGCAGAGATATATGTTTAATGGTAAGTTGATGATTGTAAGTGAATAATGATTCGATAGTCAATTCAGTTATAAATTTTTTCCCCCAATCTTCCGTTGAAGTATACTTCGCGAGTTTTATGAGTGAATGTCAAATTCCTTTTCCACGTTTCCACCAGAATAAGTCAAACAATAGATATCAATGACTAAGACGGAAATAGTACTTAAAGTTGTATACCCACTTACCCAGTGGACTTTTACTTTCCATCTTCGTATCGATTATCGGCGGGTAGCCATTGAAGCCAAAGCCTAATCAAAATTATTCCTCTTCTCATCGTGATAAACACGTTGGTTACACAATCATGCTATTTGAGAACTAATCTCAGTCAGTGTCTTCGATCCGTTGATTCTAGTTACTGTAAGGCTAACCTATTACAGCAACACATCTAACTATAGTTAGGTCCACAACCCCTACAGTGAATCAACCTCAACCAAGGAGACAGTTCCCAGGAAGGACTATAGGTGCATTCCGTAGGATGCCTAAATTAAGTCATTCGATAGTGATCTTTTACCTTTTTTGTTCGAGTTACGCGGCGAACACATTTTCCCGAGTCTAACACATTTCATAATTCATTATTTCTTAGCCCCTGTCTGTCTCTTATATTCTAACCCTTTTATATGCAATACCTCATACGTGTTCTCGACATGACATCTCCATACTAAATCTCATCCATCTTTCCAAATTACCCCCAACCTTTCACACTCCACACGGCCAAGTACCTTCGGTCATATATTACTTTCCAGGGTCCCCAGTCACAACCCTCCCAACATGTACATCGACATTCCTGCTTTTATTGATGGCCGCCAATTCACAATAAGCTGCAAATTTGAAATTCTTGCTGATGTGAGCTTTCCTCTTATTAATTTTCTACCATATGCTTATATTAATTCTCTTGCAGGGCCATTTGCGACCATTACCTCCTTCTTGGACCAAACAATTCCACTCTACCATCAGCATTGAAAACCAACACGGCGAAAATGTACTTCACGACATCAAGGGTTACCCCGCAGACCTGGCGTTTGACGCTGTTTCTGTAGACGGAATCTACGTAATCAGTGGACGCTTAATATCCCTCAATAATTCATGCACACCTCGGCTGTTTTATGAGCCTGATTATCAGCTCATCTCGCGTGTTTCAGACGACTCATCCTCAGTTTTCACCAACCAGGTCTCCGTTCAAAGCGTGGGTCTAGTCAAATCAGTATCAACATCAAGTGCTCAGTTTCAAGGTGCAGTATGCCTCGTCGTGACACACGACGATTATGATTACGTTGTGAGCGCAAAAATGTTCATGCAACCAACACAATACATGTACTGATGTTTTTATCAGTCCGAACGCGTGGTATCATTCGATGTAGAATATGTATGCAGCGCATCAAGTTCTATCATCATCCCCGACCATTGGAACTTGATTGGGCATGAAATATTCATCATTGGTTTCATTATAGGAAAAAATGAAGTAGATTACATGTGGCAAGTAGAGGTATGTGCAATCTTCTCACATAGTATATGGAAAAGGTCACTTACAGTGACTTCAAATGTACTCTTTGGTAGATAAGCGCAATTGGACAATTGTAAATGGACATGGAGCACATAATGAAAGTAAATGTGCAGCATGAATATCAAATTTCTTTATATCTACGCTCATTTCTTTATCACAGAGTCATTGTATTACGTCAATTTATCACAACCTCCTTCCTTCGTTGAAATTTGTACTGTGAATGTCGCTGTCATTGCACTTCATCCCACACTCACTGCACCTGGATCTCCGTTGAATTAATAAGATCAATGTGCACATTTCAATCTTGCGTCCTCTATTCACACAATCTGAAGACTGCAAAATCAGACTACGTCGATGCAAAATTCAAATCGAGATTACTAACCTTTGAGCCAACAATGAGCAAAATACCACGTTAGTCGTTGCCTTTTCCCCAGTTCTCGACACCAAGGCAATGCGGACATTCTCAAATGACGTACACCTCGACAGTCCTACGTACAATTGACCGTGGGCAAATACTGGTGCACTGAGGTATATACCAACTCTTTCAAGACTTTGACCTTGAGCTTTGTTGATTGTCAAAGTAAACACGGATGTTATCGGAAATTGAATTCTTGAAAACGGAATTGGATGGTCTAAATCACCAGAATGAACGAATTTCATTCGTGGAATGGCAACCTCTTCACCATAATTTGGTCCAGTCATTATCATGCATCGAAGAACATATTTGCCTTTTTCCATCACAATCAGCCTAGTCCCGTTGCAGAGCCCAACGCTCAGCTGCAAGTTTCGCAACACCATGATGGGCTGTCCAATCTTAATATAAATCTTATGGTCTGGAAAACCTGGGAAATCGACGTCATTGAGACATTCCGTAGCCACAGGATTGCAATAATCCTCGTTCATTTCATCTGATGAGATTGACACCAATTCGTTGTCACTTAATTGTTCCAATATTGCGCTATTCATCTCGTTTACTGTTGAGTTTAAGGATGTGATTAACAATCGTCCTGAGTAATACTCAGCCATTTTTCTCCAACCAGTCGCAGAGTTAAATGTTTTAATATCTTCATACAACCAGCGTACTAAGTTAGGCGCTGACGTGGCGAACTTAGGTAACAATTTGCACTCAACGTACTCGAGCGGTATTACCTGTGTATCTTTAGACTGAAGCTTCCCTTCCCCTAAATCTAGCAAATACTTTGCGAACCGTTGAGTTTGATCTCCTTGTTGTCCAGTCTGAACCCGCAACCGCAAGTTTTCTTTTAAGGTAAATTGTCGGAGACCGTTCCACAAGAAAGAGGTTTTAAAACATGCACTGCGCTGGGACCAAATTGATGCATGAGGTACAATAGGCAACGTTTGTCTAAAATCCCCGGCGAAAACTACGCTTAAGCCTCCGAATGGGGCATTAGACCGACACATATGCTGCAGACTACGATTTACTGCTTCAATAGCATGCTTATGCTGCATCGCAATTTCATCCCAGATTATCAACGGTGCTCGAAGGATCGATTTGCTTCTAGCGTCTCTTCCAGTGAGATCACATGTACTTTCATGGTCAACCTTGAGTGGTATGTTGAAAGCTGAGTGTGCAGTCCTTCCGTTCAACAATAGAATTGCGGCAACCCCAGAGGAGGCGACTGCAAGCGGTAGTAAATTTTTTGAATAAAAATAATGTAGGATCGTATTGAGAGTGTAGGTTTTACCCGTACCACCGGGACCATCAAGAAAGCATAGAATCTGTCGAGACTCTTCGTGCGCTTGTGTCACATAGTTCACCAGTTCCGCCTGTTCAGTGTTGAGTGAAGGCAATCTTTCCTCATATGCCGCTAAAGATGATAGGCCGCGCCCCAAATCAAAAGCATTGGGTTGAAAAGATGTGACAATCTCGTGATCTAAATACTCGAGTAAAGTTGTTCTAAATCCAATGGATTCCGTGTCTTTCCCCATGTCGTTCAGCACGTTATCCAGTAAAGCAAAGCCGTACGCGTATTTGATTTCATCCACTATCTCTGTTTGACATCCATACTGCTGCAATTGATTCTCAACGTCTTCGGAAAAAAAAGTTTTGAGCTTATCCCATAAAGCATCTGGCAAAGCCACCACTCCATAAACCAATATTAAAGCAAATAGGTTTCTCATTTGTGAAGCCGATGACCAAAGTGACGCCTCCGACATCGCCGTTTCATGATGGATATCGGATTTGAGCAATCCCAGTTTGTCGGCTGCCTCGCGGAATGTTTTATAGACTACGCCATCAACTGTTCTCAAGTCTTCAAAAGAAGTCGGCCCTCTCACATTACATAACAATAAGCGGAGAAAATATTTCTCCCCATCGGAAACATTCGCAAAATACATTCTACCGACTGGCCTAAGTTTTTGCTCTCTAGGGAGGAAGCCTCCATTTTTCCACAGAAAATATTTGACGACATCCACATAGAATAAATCCCGTGCTTTCATATTTCCTAATCCTTTTGAGTCTTCTGCGCATAAACGGAAGAATTCAGTTAAAGTCGATTTCGGCGGAGGTCCTAGATTAAGTCGTCGCTGCACCTCAGACTCGTCTGTGAAAAATACTAATTGCGAATCTTCCAAATGTAAGCTGAGCCTTACAACAAACGGATCTCTACTGTTCATAACAAATTGAAATAAACTATATGCACCTACAATATGTTCAATATCAACATCAGTCCGCAGGGTAAACTGGTAGAATTTTCATAACTCACATTCTGGTGCACTTATATATCGGTATTCTTGAAACTCGAGTATTTCATCATCCCATTCAGATGTTGACCCATTCGGATTCTTTTTGAGGTTGAAATGTCAGTAAAGATAACCTTCTTCTTTTTTATATACCAAAGCTATTACATACCTTTATTTTTATTTGGATACGCGTCCTATCATGCCCTTTTGTTAGATATTTGTAAAGGTACCTCACGGGCTTGGTTCCTAATGGAATTTCAACGTTTATATGACATTGGAATAGCATTAAAAGATATTTATTGTAGGAGACTACGTTGGCGTTGCTGAATTTGTTTGGGCCGTTTTCAAAAGTCCTTCCATCATCAGGCCGGCGGTAGTTGTAGAACCCAGAATCAGAAATTGTAGTTTCATCACAGAAT